TTCCACTGCAATAATTACAACAATCGTCTTTATAGCAATAATTACGAAATCATAAACGTATTGCTATATTCGCATTATTCTATTCCCACGTTCCAGCGTCCAAATACGCCAGGACTTGAGGATGCAACAGTTCAGTTTAACTACCACAACGGGCACATCGACACGGAGATCTGTGCGGAGCCAACAGACAGCCAAGCCTCCTTGAACATCAAGAGGGCGGTCGTCTCCTTGTTCCAATCAGCTGTTTTGCAAGACAGCGGCACGGCGGCCATCCACGAGGTTTGTGCGCTTCGAACATGACGGCGACGTCCGACCAAATTTATTCACAATAGTAGCCTACGAGATCCAACGAATCGCCTTATTTCGTCGCGTCGAGAGCTTCGCTTTCGAAGCCACGAAGAAAAAGGCTTATCCTTCGCGTACAGACCGCAGTTTTGCCCGACGAATTCGCGCTAAAATCGCGCAGCTCCGACTCGAAACGCTCTATAAAGACAAAAACCACGAACAATGAAACTGAATAAAGCTTAACCCGAACATTTCCCCGCAGACCGACGTGATGGGCGTCTGCCCGACGAAGTTCTCGTTCTACAAGAAGGGCGAGACTTTGGTGGTGGAGAAGACGAGGAACCTGGACCAGTGCAGCTTCCGCGAGAACGTGAACCAAGGCCTGGTGACGGCGATGGTTGACACGGCGACCGGGCTGAAAACGACGCCTCTATTGGACTCCCATCAGACGATCAACCAACGCTTCAAACAAGGCGTTCTGGACTCGGCGACCTCCACCGAGACGTACAAGCTTCGTCCGTTCAGCAACGGCGAGTCTGGCGCGAAGACGGTGGTGGAGACCACGTTGTCGTTCACCGGCGAGAAACCGGAGAACCCGACGAAACCGGTGTCCGCGCCGAAGACCTTGATCTTCGACGCCCCGCACGCGGTCGTTAAATACAATCAAGAGGACATCGCGAAGGCGTTGAAGGCCGCGCAGGCGGAGATCGCCGGCGGCGTGAAGCCGGCCGCCGCGAGCAAGTTCACGGAGCTGGTGAAGGTGCTGCGGCTCAGCAACAAGCCGGACATGCTGTCGACGTACCAGAAGGTGAAGGCGGGCGCCGGGTTCGACAAGGGTTGCCTGCAGTTGCTGCTGGACGGGCTGTTCCACGCTGGAACCGGCGAGGCGGCGGAGGTTGGCGTGGAGCTGATCAAGAACAAGGAAATGACCGAAACGCAGACGCTGCTCTTCTACACCGGGCTGGCGCTGATCCGGCACACCACCCTGCCGACGGTCACGGCATTGACCACTCTTCTGGACCAGCCCGATCTGCCCCGGATCGGCTACCTCGGGATCGGCCAGGCGATCGGCAAGTACTGCCAACAACATTCGTGCGAGAACGTGGCGAAGGTGAAGGAGGCGGTGCACAAGATCCGCGAGAAGGTGGGCAACGGCAAGACGAAGACCAGGGCGCAGGAGGACGTGGTGATCTCCGCGCTGAAGGCGCTGGGCAACACGTTCCTGGACGACGCGACTCTGGTGAAACTGGCGAACATCGCCGCGGACAAGAACGTGAGGAACAGGGTGCGGGTGGCGGCCATCGAGGCGCTGCCCACCAAGTGCACCATGAAATGGAAGAACATCGTATTGAAAGTGTTCGCGGACAAGGAGGAGGACAGCGAGATCAGGATCAAGTCGTACTTGTCGTTGGTCGCGTGCCCCTGCCCGCACGTCGCCAGCCACCTGAAGGACACCCTGGACAAGGAGACGGTGAACCAGGTCGGCTCGTTCATCCAGGGCCACCTGAGGAACCTGCGAGCCTCCACGGACCCGAACAAGCTGAACGCGAAGAGCCATATCGGGCAGATCAAGCCGCGCACCAAGTTCCCGGAGGACTTCCGCAAGTTCTCGTACAACGACGAGCTGTCGTACAAGATCGAGTCGCTGGGCCTTGGCACGAGCGTCGACGAGAACGTGATCTACAGCCAGAACAGCTACGTGCCCCGGTCCGTGGACCTGAACGTCACCGTGGAGCTGTTCGGCCGCAACATGAACCTGCTGAGCTTGAGCACCCGCGCGGAGAACCTTGACAGAGCGATCGAGCACTGGCTCGGCCCGAAGGGCGAGCTCAAGTTACACGAAACGGTGGAGGACCCGTCCGACACGATTCAGACGTTCAAGCAGATGACGAAGTACACCGCGGCCAAGTACGAGAGGCTGATCCGCGGGAAGAGGGCCGCGGTCGAGCAGCAGGAGCTGAACCGGTTCGCGAAGAACGTGCGGCTGAGGGGCAACGAGGTCGACCAGAACCTGGACCTGGACTTCTCGATGAAGCTGTTCGGCGTGGAGGTCGCCTACCTGAGCTACGAAAGCGACAACGTCGTGGACCCCATGAAAGTGGTCGTAGACCAGGTGTTCGATAAACTGGGCAGAGGATTCGAGCAGGCCAAGAACCTGAACCACGAGGTCGAGAGCTTCCTGCAGTTCCTGGAAGCCGACCTGATCTATCCGACCAACCTCGGCAGCTCCCTGTCCCTGGGAGTGACCGGGACCAGCGCGGCTCGCGTCAAAAGCAACGGCAAGGTGGACCTCGCGGATATCCTGGAATTCCCGAAGAAAGCGACGTTCAGAGTCGGCGTGGAGCCGAGCGTGGCGGTCACGGTGACCGGCAACATCCTCGTCCAGGCTCTGGGCGTCGAGTCCGGGCTGAAGGTGGTGAGCACCCTTCACACGTCGACCAGCAGCGACTTGTCCGTGAGCGTGCTGGGCGGCACAGGCATCGACGTCTCGCTGAGCCTGCCGAAGAAGAAGCAGGAGGTGATCAACGTGAACAGCGAGGTGCTGTTCAGCAGCGGCCCGCACGGCGAGTACGCGGCGCCCAAGTTCAGCAAGGGCAGAGAGTACAAGGACTGTTTCGACCAGCTGTCCACCGTCTTGGGGCTGACCGTCTGCGGCGAGCTGTCGTTCCCGTACACGGACCTGGCCACCGTTCAGCAGAAGCCCGTGTTCCCACTTAGCGGACCGGCGAAGTTCGCCGTGTCCGTCGAGAACAACGACGTGACCGAGTTCCACTTCAGGGCGAAGCTGGACGTCGAGAACCCGGAGCGACGTTCCTTCGAGATCCTGTTGGACACCCCGAAGAGCAGGACGCAGAGACGCGTCGCTCTGACCGGGGAGGTCAACACCAAGCCGAACCTGTCCGCCAAGCTGGCCTTCGACTCGCCGATCAAGAAGGCCTCGATCGAGGCCGCCCTGAAGAACACCCCGGAGGAGCGCAGCATGACCGTGACCGCGCTCCACGACCAGAACGACTATTACGCGCGCGTCGGCATGCTGGTCAGCGGCAACAAGTACAAGCCGGTGCTGGAGTACAAGATGCCGGAGCACATCGCGAGACTTGCCGGCATGAAACCCGACTCGCAGTCGGGCCAGCAGTACACCTGCCAGGGCACCGTGGAGGTCGCGGAGGTGGACGGCGGTCAGAAGTTCACCATCGACGACGTGGCTCTGCTGATCGGCGGCCAGAAGATCGTGGTCGTCGACGGTTCGATCAAGTGGACGCCGATGGCGGTGAACGTGGACACGAAGATCGGATACGGCGAGAAGCACCTGGACCTGAAGATGGACGGGAGCATGGTGCCCCACAGCCTCTGGATGCTCGCGGTGACCGCCAAGCCCTCGTCCGACCCCAATCTCGGGTTCTCGTTGGATTGGCAGCTGAAGAAGGAGAAGTCCGTGTGGATGCACAACCTGGTCTTCGTCCACGGGCCCGATCTGAAGTCCGAGGTGAACCGGCTGAGTCTAGAGCAGAAGTTCCACCCGCGTGAGTTGGAGGTGAAGGATGGCGAGCGGTCAAGCTACAAGCGTTTCGGCGTCTCGTTGTTCAACGAGCTGAAATACCCCGCCACGAATCTGTTCCTGGGGCTCAACGGCGAGGTCGACAGGGATTCGGCGACCATCGGCGCCAGAATGACGTACGAGAAGTTCAAGACCAACTTCGGGATGTCCTTGCGTAGATCGCCCCACCTGAATCCGGGCAACTACGAGCTGGAGGTCACGGCCGAGCTGCTGGATAATAAGTTCCAACTGAAGTCGAAGCGCGACGTGATCGAGCCGACCAAGAGCAAGTTCACGAACTTGCTGGTGTTCACGCCGGGCGGCAGGTACGAGTCCGAGGTGACGGTGGTGTACAACGTGAACAAGGAGAACGCGCTGGTCCAGGTGAACGGCGACGCGAACCTGAACGGCAAGAAGGTGAAAGTGTCCACCGATCTGGAGGCGAACCCGCAGCTGTTGAACTCGCTGGTGTTCGTCAAGGTCGACGGCGTCAAGTACATCGAGTTCACCCTGAAGACACGGAAGAGCCCGCACCCGAGCGGCACCGTGAACTTGAACCTGAAGGGCTACCTGACGGCGAACGGCCAGTACTCGTACCAGAACGGCAAAGGGAACGCGAACCTGAACATCGACGTGCCGAAGATCGGCCGCAAGGTCCAGGCGACGGGCCAGGTGTCCGTCAACGGCCCGCAGCACGACGGCACCCTCGAGATCCTCTACGACGCCAAGAAGGACCCGAACAAGCGGATCAAGCTGTCCACGAACAACCACATCGTCTCCAACACGGACGACGCGAACAACCACGCCGTCTCCAACTCGATCGACACGAAGAACGTGCTCGTCTGGCTCGACCAGAAGCTCGAGGTGAACGGCAAGGGCAAGCTGGCCAGCAGATTCAACAACGTAGAGCTCGACCTGACCGCGGACGTCACTCTGCCGTCCGGCCGTAACTTCAACACGAAATTGTACCGGATATCCACGCATGGGGACAAGCTGACCGAGGTCATGGTGAACGCCGAGCTGCAGCACTGCCAGGAGAAGGGCGGGCCGGCCACCAAGCTTCAGTACAGGGCCAACTTACAGCTGGCCGAACCGGATTTGACCTTCGATTCGGACACGCAATTGAAACTGATCGACACCGAGAACAAGGACCTGCTGATCAACTATCATATCGTGCGGAAACTCGAGAACGGCAAGATGCTGAGCAGCATCGGCGTAAAGGTTGGCGGCGCGAAGGTCCCGCAGGAGTTCAAAGTCAAAGCCTCGTCCGACGAGGACGACTCGTGCAGCGAGAACAAGCTACATGGATCCTGGGGCGACTGGCTGGTGGAGGTAGGTGTTTCGGAGGTTGTTTAGGAGAGGATGGAGAATGTGGAGAAGTTCTTCACAGACAATCAAGGAGAATCATATTTTCATTGATCAAGATGATACAGTCACATTTCTCCCGGGAATGGTAAATTTTTGGTTGCCGTGAATTTCTCTGTGATAGTCCTGCGTCTATGGAATTTATTGCTATGTCGGTGCTAGAGGTCGATGGAGTCGGTCAGCCGTCTTCGAATTGCCTTCGAATCATGGCATGAGGCCTTCGAATTGCCGTCGAATTGAATCGTGTGGCCTTTAAATTGACTTAGAATTGAATCATGTGGCCTTTAAATTGACTTAGAATTGCCCTGGAATTGAATCATGTGGTCTTCAAATCGCCTTCGAATTGAATCACGTGGCCTTCGAATTGAATCATGTGGTCTTCGAATTGCCTTCGAATTGAATCACGTGGCCTTCAAATTGCCGTCGGATCGTGACAAAAGACTAGAAATAAGAAAGTTACGTCATCGTTTCTCTAAAAACGAGCCGCGAAGCACGAAGAATCGCGTCTTAGTATTCTCGGATCTGCCGGTTTCGATTCCGGCCTCCGACCATTTCTAGGAGAAACGACTGCTCCGTTAGGCTTCTTCCCAAAGTAGTCGTCCCCTCTCCTCGAAGTTAACCCCCTCTTCTCCCAGTATCCGCTGAATGGCCCGTTTCGTTCGCAGAACAATCTGAAGATTGTGAACAAGGACAGCGACCAAGGTCTGGAGTTGGAGGGATCTGGGAAACTGGCCTGCGGCAAGGACAACGAGATCGGCTTGAAGTTGAGCAGCAAGACGGAGAGACGAGGCTCCTTGGACGCGGCTTCGGAGGGCAAGGGAGAGTTTGTGCTGAAGGTCGCCAAGCATCCTCCGTTGCAGCTGGAGGGATGCTACAAGTACGAGCCATCCGAGGGGAAGTCCACCGCGGACGTGGACGTGAAGTTCGAGTACGGAGACAATAAGGCCACGTTACAGTCGAACAACGTGTACAAGCCAGACGTGGCGATCGTCACTGTCAAGGTGAACAGCGCGTTACCCATCGAGAAGTTCCGCAACGTGGCATTGGACCTGGACTACAAGGTAGGCGCGCCACCGTTCGAATTGGTCCGCGTTCGTCTTCGAACGAAGACAGACGAGAGATCCGTCGATGTCTTTCTTTGTCGAATGAGATTACACGTTTCCATCGTTATTTCGCAGAGGTTGAAAGCAGACAATCAGCTGACCACGAACGCGGTGCTGAAGGCTGACGGCGCGGAGTACACCCTGAAGAGCAACATCCAGCCGCAGGGTGCGCGCAGGGTGTTCGAGGTGACGACCACCTGTCCGCAAGGCAAATCGGAGCTGCTCTGGGCGTTCGAGAAACTCGGGCTGAAAGAGTACAAAGGTAAGAGGCTGTCATTTGGTCTCCGAGTTGAGGAATTGAGGTCTCCGAGTCACGTGACCCGCGAATTGCCTCGAAATCGCATCAAATCGGAACGATTTTACGGCGGCCAGTTGTTTCGCCGAGGTGGACAGTTCGTCTCGCAGGTTTCGCGATCTTGAAAATAGAAACGTGACGCCCAAGCGAGTCCTTCGAACGCTGACGATCGTTTCTTGTTCGCCGCAGGTGAACTGACCGTGCGCACGCCGAAGGGATTCGTCACCGGGGACGTGCACGCCGACCTTGACAGCGTCGACGAGTTCGAGATCACCGGGAACTTCGACAGCGACAAGACGAAGTACCGCAAGGTGCACGCTGAGATCTCGAACAAGCCGACCGCCAAGACCGGGAAGAGGATCATCGTGACGGTGACCAGCGACGGCAAGAACATCGTAACCGGAAGGTAATGGCAGCCATGCCGACTTAATGTCCGCGCCGCGTCTACCAGCGAAACCCGTTGTCTTTCGATGATCTAAAACCGTTCTGGTATATTCGGGAACTAAGACTGCACTGTCTATCCAGCACGAGCTACAAGAAACGCGATGAGGAGGGAAAGATCGTGGTCGAGGGCAACGGGAGCCTGAAGGTCGGCGACGACACCAAGAGCTCGTCCTTCAAGTACACCAGGCAACAGCTGACCATCGAGAAGGACGGAGAAGAGGGCATCGCTGTGATTTTGAACGCGAACTTCGGCCCCTCGGCCATCGTCGGCGAGCTCAAGTTGACGAACAAGGAGCTCCACGTCTTCAACAGCTACTGCGAGCAGACCAAGGACTGCGCCCACTTCAAGCTCCAATCGAGCATGGACACGACACGTAAGCTTTCCACGACCGCATTATCGTTTCGACCATTCGTCTCTTTGCATTCGAAGCCGTACGATTTTATTTTATATATACATATATACGATTTTTTATTTGCCAATCGGCGACAACTATCGAATTCCTGATGTCATTCGAAGAAACTTTTTCCTTTGCGAAAATGCGATGCGTGGCTTCGTTTACGAGTTATCAGCGAAAAACGGTGACCACTGAGACGCGGTGGGCGGAACTGGGCTCCGCCCGCCCACTGACTCGGCCGCCGCGCGCTCGCCTCTCATTGGACACCGTTTTTCGTCGATAACTCGCTAACGAAGCCGCGGATCGCATTTTCGCAAAGGAAAAAGTTCCTTCGAATGATCTCAGGAACCCCTCGTTTCCCGGAAGTGCCATAATTTTTGGATACCGTGTATTAATTCAAACATCCAAATGCTGTAACGATAATACTTGATAACGATTCACTTCGAGTCGATCCAAATCCCCCGTTTTCGGATTGCGAGACACTTTCGGGACACTCTGTATATTCTCATCCTCCGACGATCTCTTCAGCGGGGAAGCAGTACCTGAAACACCAGCTGACGGTGGAGGTCGACCTGAAGAAGTTCAACGTGCCCGCCGAGTTCGGGCTGAAGACCAACACCGAGCTCAGCCATCCCCAAGTGGACCACACGTCGAATCTGTACCTGCACTCGACCAAGGACAAGTCCGAGTACACCTACCAGTTCTACATTCATCCGAAAGAATCCGGTAACTAGTCGGAGCCACGATTATCCCGATTTTTAAGCGGAGTCGGCCGACGGTTGTTAACTTGATCGATCTCGTCGCAGCTTCCATTCTGACTCTGCCATCGCGCGAGGTCGCTCTGATTCTCGTCCACGTCGTGCCGAAGGCAAAGGCAGGCGGCCCGTACATGCTGGACCTGTCTTTGTACATGGATAAGAAGAACAAACCGGCGGAGAAGACCTGTCTGAGTGCCAACGGTGACCTGAACATCGACAAGGACGGCTTGTCTCTTAGCGGAAACGCGAAATTCTCGTACCCGACGCAGACCAAGGTAAAATCGCATCGATTGATCAGTTGCGAGAAAGGAAAACCGGATAGAAATTCAATTCTCTTTTTCTTTCTTCTTATTCATGATCTCTGTATGTACATAGTAATAACCAGATAGATGATTCTGGTATTATAGTATATATTATAATTATGCTATTTATATA